GAATATCGGGAACTCGCATCCATTCTAGGAAGATAAGACACAGACACAGGAGATGGCAGTGGGAAGATGCAGAGGGAGGAACACCATGTTAGTGAACATGGAGGCAGAGACCAGAGTGTTGTGTCTTCAACACGGAGCATTGCCAGCGGCCACCAGAAGCTGGAAGCAAGGAAGGATTCTCCTTTAGAGGCTGCACAGTCCTGCTACCAGCTTCACCTCGGACTTCCAGCCTCCATAGCTGCGACACAACAAATCCCTGTTGTTTCAAGCTACCCAGTTTGGGGTGCTTTGTGATGATTGTGCTTCCTTCCCATGGTGAAGAAAGAGGAGTGACTCACGGGACTGGGCCTTTTGGGTAAACTCAGGGCAGAGGAGAAGGGTGAAGAATGGTAGGTATATGTGTTTGACATTTATTCCATGTTGGGCTCTGGACTGGGTTTTTGTTTGTTTTGCTTTGTTTTTTGAGAGGGAGCCTAAGTGAGTTAGGTGCTTGCTATGCAAGCCTGAGGACCTGAGTTCCAAACTCCAGAACCAACATAACATTTAGCCTCAGTAGCACTCATCTGTATATCCCAGTGCTCCTAGGTGAGATGGGAGGCAGAGACAGGAGAGTCCCTGGAAGCTTGAAGCCTGGCTAGCCTGGTGTGCTAATTGGTGAGCAACAAATTAGCCTTTTCTCAAGGTAGAAGGAAAGAACTGACAGTTAATACTGACCTCTGATCTCTGCATGCTCACAGTAGCATGTACTCACCCATAGTCACACACACATACGAGAGAGGAGAGGAGAGAGAGGAGAGAGAGAGAGAGAGAGAGAGAGAGAGAGAGAGAGTTTGAGTCTTAGGGAAGTAGGTGCTCATTTTCCTTCTCTGAGCCTGTCTTCTGAGCCTTCATCAGAAAACAGAAATAACAATATTTTTCTCTCAGGTAGTTGTGGGGATGCTATGAGCTCATGCTTCATTTACCACGATGCAGTGCCAGCCTCTCCTCAAGGCCCTGGAGACACAGCCCTGAACAGGATGGGCCAAGTTCTTGCCCCCAAGGAGTCAACCTCTCTGTAGAGGTTGGCACTTATTAAGTGCTTAGGAGAACTAGGTGGGCAAGAACAGAGGATTGAATGGGATGGGAATGTGTGTGGATCAGCTTGGCCTATAGGAAGAATTCATTTTAGAACTGATTCTCTGTCCTTGGTGGTGGTTTGACAGTTCCCTGGCCAGTGAGGACACAAGGTCCTTTGGGCCTGGGCCCCATGTTCTCAGGAACTCCCCAATGGTTGTTGGGGATACTTCCTCAAAGCTAGCAAACTCTGTGCCCCAGCCAGTCTGTGGAAGCAGCAGAAGGGGCCTCTGGTCTTCCCTGGGCCCTTCTTGCTGCAATGCCCCCTCAGTCCCACCTCTCCATCTTAGCCCCACCTACTTCCAGATACTGTCCCTGCCCAGGCCAGGCCTGAGCCTGCCCTGGAGGTGCTCCCAGCTGTCCTTGTGTCCCCTCTGGCTTCTGTAAACACTCCCCTTTCCACCCCTGGAGGCTTCCTCTGGATACCAGCTCCTCTCCCTTCCAAAGGTATCCCCAGACATCACCCCTGTGCTATTCTTTATCCCTGGAACTGTGGTATCAAATGTCAACCACCCTCTGTCCAGCACCAGCAGGGTGGGGGTGGGGGGTAGTTGTCTTGATATCTGTGGTTTAGGGAAGGGTCCTCCCAGTCCCCCTAGGAGGGGTCAGGTACAGTTGAGTTTTGCCATGCTCTGTCTCTGCCCAGGAAACATTTTCTCCAAGATTTCAGCTTCTCTGAGCCTGTGGAGGGGAAGTGGCCCTCTCTGTTTCACAGGGTGGAGGGGATACTGGCAAGGCTTGTGCAAGTGGTAGCAACTAATCCCAATGGCTGACTAGTTTCCAGGTGGGCTCTGGAAGAGGCATCATGGGGCACAGAGCAGCTACATACATCAGAACTCAAGGAAGCCTTCTTCCTGTCCTCACTTGCCCCTAGCGAGCCAGGAGAGCTGGCACAGAGCGATGGGACACGGGCTCTGGCGGGCCCTAACAGCTCAGCAGTGGCAGTGGCAGTGGTGGCAGGGGCTATTCTGAGAACTGGGAGGGGCTGAGACAGGAGAGGAAGCAGCAGGGGGAAACAGTTTGAGAGGGCCAGGATTGGGAGTTGTCCACCAAGGTGGTGCATTGGGACAGTTGTGTGGTGTATGTTTGATCTGAGGAGGGGTAGACCAGCTGAGGTACTGAGGAGGTTGCTGGCATTGTTTGGGTACCTGTAGACAAGTTTTGTGGAGTCCTGTGGGAAAGCATACAAAGTAAGTATATGTGTGTGCATCAAAAGGCATGTATAAGTGCTGAGGATGGTGTGAAAGCAAGTGTGCAGGTGTGTAGGAGCAGAAAAGTGAGCAAGTAGGAACTTGTCCCGAAGCAGGAATGAATGTGGGCATGACTGGCTGGGAAAAGGCAGGGGACCTGGAGAGCATGTGTTGGGGCGGGAAGTGATCAAAAAAACTGTGGGAAGGTATGGGGTTATGTAACTGGCCTTTGAGTGTAGGGCATGTGAGGAGTGTATACTTGAAGAGCCAGTTGAGTGTGAGTGTGAGTGGCATAGGTGTGGTGAGAGCAGGCTGGGAGTGTGTGAGCTGGGGAGAACAGAAAGGAAGATACACTTGAGCAATGGGAATCACAACTGTGAGCATTTCTGGACTGCTTCTGAGCCTGCTTCTATTGTTCCGAATCTTATTTCATCCTTCAAATGTCCTGTGAATACAGTGCCCTTGTGATACCTTCCAATAGAGCAGGAAGCAGTGTCTTTGAGCAGCTAACTAACTTGCCAATATTCCTCTAAATCACTCTCAGACTGCCTTCTGACGAGTGTGTAAGAAGGGGCCAAGTTGTGAGTAAAAAAGAATATCAGTGTGCTCTAGTAGGTATGTTGGTGTCAGACATAGGCCCCAGAGGAGAGGCCCAGCAGCAGCTGTGACCACTAGGCAGGCAGGAGCCAAGCAGAGCCTGAGTCAGCCTCTGGGCATTTCTGCCAACCTGACTTCCAGGCCCTGCAGTGGCAGCCTGTGCCAGGGCCCCCAGCTAAGTTTCCTCCAGCACTAGTATGGCCCCCAGCAAGCTCCCATGTCATGCTCAGAGCTGGGCCTGGCCCAGAGACTGGTGGGAAGTTTGTCTGGCATCCAGGGAACCCAAGGAGCAACCCCCAGGATGAGCTCCCCAGGCAAGAAGGGCATCTTTGAGCTGTGGGAGGAGGCCCAGCAGTGATTTCAGCCCCTCATGGTTCTAAACAGAACCACCTGGAGGGTGTGCGTGCATAGGGGGGCAGCCAACAGTTCCCATGCCCACCCTCGCCTTTGGGATGTGACTCAGGCAGATGCCACGCCAGGCATCTGCAAACTGGGCCTACACTCACCCTGGGGGGTGAAGAGCCCACCCAGTCCCATCCCACTTTCACACTTGGTGGTATTCCACTCCCTGGGTCCTAAGCTGAAATGAAGGAGTTTTTGAAAGAGGGATGTCTGCCTTGGTGGAGACACAGCCCTCCCACTGCCCAGAACACTCATTACCTCTAGCCCTTCCAGGAACCAGGTACTGGCAAGAGGAGGTTAGAGTTTGGAATTCTGGCCTTGGTCATGCTAATTTGGGTAAGTGACCCCCACCCTCACCCCGCCTCAGTTTCCCGATTGGCAAAACAGGAATACTGTGTTAAAAGGACACAAGAATTTGCTGGCAGAGCAGCAAATGGTCTGGGCCAGCAGGGAACAGTTAGGCATGTGTGGGAGTTGGAGTTAGAAGAGGAGTCAGGTTAAGTTGATGTTTGAGCTGAGTTTTTGGTGGGGGCCTTGTGGATGGGGATGGGTGCTTCCAGGCATAAGGCATAGCCTGCAGATGGAGTGGTGGCTGGAGACAGCCTAGCACCTTATGGGATGAGGTAATGGACTGCCTAACCTCTGAGGAACTGCGCCCTCTGAGGTCACGTGATGATCTGATTACCATCAGAGCCCTCCCCTACTCTATACAATAGGGACCTCATTTGTCTCTGTTTCTGACTTTGCCATAGTGCCCTGGAAGGAGACAGGTGCTTTGAAGGTACTCAATAAATACCTATTACATGAAGGCGTTTCTTCCCCAAACACTCTGAACTTTGGAGTAAGCACTTGTTCCAACAACCCCTGCGAGAAGCTCCCACAGATTGGACGACAGTGGTCTGTAAAGTGCACCGTCTGGGAGCTTGCTAGAAATGGGAAATCTCCACCCCAACCCAGACCTGCTACAAGAAACGTAGGGGTCAGGGCCCAGGAATCTGTTTTAACAAGCTGTTCAGGATAAACTCTGCCTCACGATGAACTTTGAGAAACAAAGCTCTAAAATTTTGCCTGCAGGCACCATAAGAACCCAGGAAGCCCCATTTGCAAATGGAGAAGGTAGGATTGTAGCAACGCCTGGTCTAGAATCCAGGTATTCTCAAACCATTCCTTTTCCCTAAAGCGGTCCAGGGCACAAAGGGAGGGGGAGAGTTAGATCCACGCCTGGTCGGCCTGCTGGAGGGAAGACTTAGAAACGTCAAGGGTCTAGAAACAGAGGGCGGAGCATTCCAGGAGTGGTGGGGGTGGAAGGCGGGGCCAATGCTCTGAGCTCCGCCCCATTCCTGTTGCCCTGGGAAACCCCGGGTTGTAACAATAACCCGCTGACGCGCTCCTGGGAGGGATCCTTTGGAGTCTGTGGGCGGGACCACCCTGCTGTGCACCAATGGGAGCACTCAGGCTCCGCCCTCGCATCTCCCTCCGGGCAGGGGGCGGGGCCGCTCCCGTTTCTCCTTGCCTGCTCCCTAGGGGGCGTTGTGGCGCGCAGGGCTGCGGCGGGGTCGTCCTGCACCGGGAGCTCCGCGCCTCCACCCAGTCCGCAGGCGGGGCACCCGGCAGGGGGAGGATTCCGCGGCCCCGGGCGAGCACGCCCCGCCCCCTTGCCCGCTGGCCCCGCCCCCTTGCCCGTCCCCCGCCCATCCCGAGGTGCAGCCGGCGCTCAGCGCGGCAGGCGCGGGAGCTGGCGCTGGAGCCGGAGCGGCGGCGGCGGCGGTATTCTCGGGGCGGCGGCGGCGCGGGCTCTGGCACCGGCTCGGGCTCCGGCATGGTGCAATTCAGCCTCGTCCCGGGAGAGCAGGGCCCGCGCGCGGGACCGGCGCCCGGGGAGCAGCGGCAGCGGCGGTGGCGGTGGTGGCTGCAGGCGCAGGCAGGCGGCAGGTGCTAGAAGCTGGGCTGGGCGAGGTGTGTACCCGCTGGGCTCCCGGGCCGCCGCCCCCTCACTGCCCAGGTCTTTCCCTCCCTCGGTGCTCCCCAGCGCGTCCAGCCCCCTGCCTCCGCGCCCGGGCCCATGGCGCCCCGCGGTTGAGCCGGCGCCGCCAGGGACCCCTCCCGCGGGCCTCCCCGGGGCGCGCAGATCCCGGAGCCGCCCGCCCACCCTCCGCGGAGCCTCCCTCCCTCGCTGGAGCCGGGCGGGACCATGGCTGCGAAGCTGCGAGCGCATCAGGTGGACGTGGATCCGGACTTCGCGCCGCAGAGCCGGCCGCGCTCGTGTACCTGGCCGCTGCCGCAGCCCGACTTGGCCGGCGACGAGGACAGAGCGCTGGGCGCAGGGGTGGCCGAGGGCGCAGAGGACTGCGGGCCGGAGCGCCGGGCGACGGCCCCGGCCATGGCCCCAGCGCCGCCGCTGGGCGCGGAGGTCGGACCGCTGCGGAAAGCGAAGAGCTCCCGGCGGAACGCGTGGGGAAACCTGTCCTACGCCGACCTCATCACCAAAGCCATCGAGAGCGCCCCGGACAAGCGACTCACGCTCTCGCAGATCTACGACTGGATGGTCCGTTACGTGCCCTACTTCAAGGATAAAGGCGACAGCAACAGCTCGGCCGGCTGGAAGGTGGGGGCGTCCGCCTGGGGAAGGGGGCTAGGGACGACTGGGGCATCCTGGGGGCTGCTAGGTGCGTCTGTGCTCCCGGCAGGCCACTGGGAAGGAAGCTCCAGGACACCCCTAGGGGTCACGGAGTGTGCGCTCAGGGCGTGGAGCTGGCCAGCGAACAGGCGGGGACATGCCGGCAGCAGCTGTATGCGTGCCCCCTAGAAGAGATGCGCGGGGTGGGAGGTCTGGTAGGGTGACTAGGGACTACCTTTTTGAGGCGTCCCAGAGGAGCTTCCCAGCCTGTCCTTGAAGGCATAGGAGAAGAACTCATTTCTAGGGGGCATACACTGGGGAGCCCCCTTTGCTTTGTGTGACTTGTTTTACCCTTTCTACCAGGGCACCCTCTTAAAGAGCTGGAGTCATGACTTGGGACCCCTCCTGCTTTCCCTCCCAAATCTCTGTCCTGCCCTTGTAGCTGGCCACAGGGTGAGAAGTGCTGTGGACCACGGGCTCACAATTCTTTCTGTGGTGCCAAGAGTTCTAACGTCCTGGAGCACCTACTAGATTGGGGTGGAAAGCATGACAGGTCACCTGAGAGTAGTTCATGGAGCAGATGTTGCCAGGCCCTTCCCTGGTACAGCATTGGAGGGTGCTGCTTAATGGCCCCTGCTGATACTTGAGGTGTTGAGGCTTTGGAGTGGGGAGTAGCTCAGCCTACTCCAGGCATCCTGTCTCCCACTGCCCTGTCTTTCTAGACCCAGAAGCATTTAAGAGATAGGGTACCCCAAGGAGGCCTCAGTGGCAGGAGGTGGAAGGGGAGGCCATCTTGGGAAACTAGGAGGGGGCCTCATTGGATTGTAGCCTCTAGCCCCAGCCCCTTCTCTGGCCATCTTGTTGGAAAATGGGGCTAGCTTATGCATTTGGGGGTAAGAGGTTAAAGGGAACCCCTATAGGAGAGGGGACCTCTGTGCAGAAGACAGGGATGTCCAGGGATGGGGCTGTGCAGGGCGATGGCTGACAGCAGGGTCTGAGAAGAGGGGAAGAGAGGCTGAGACCATGAACAGCTCTAGATGCATATGGTAGCACTGTAAGGATCAGGGTGTCCTGACCTGGGAGCTCACAGCTCTCAGGCTGTATGCTGGCACCTCTTTTGGCTCTCCCTGATCACTATGTGGCAGGAACACAGGACAGAGAAGTAGAATTGCCCTGTCCCTTCTCCAGTCCCCTGGGGCTTAGTTCCCACCAGAACACAACTTCTTAAGTGTGTCCTGCCTTTGGGCTTGCCTCTCTACGGATTCCCCATGTCCAATCCCACCTTCTATTCCTCCCTGGAGATACAGAGTCCCCAATGCCTCCTCCAAGAAGCCTTCCCTAACCTTTGTTAGCTAGCTTAGGACTCCCCATTTTCTGTTCCTCACGCCTGTAGTATGTATCAATCATCTGTATCTTGCCTCATGTCTCCTCCCTCTCTCACCTTTGAAAGACAGTGGTAGTGTTAGGGCTGTTCTGTGCCACAGAACATCCCATAGAACTTGGCATCAAGAAGCTATCAGTGTGTATGTAGTGAGAGTAAAGAGATGAGTGAGGGAATGTGTTCAGAGGATGTGAAGTCAGGGAGAGTACCAGGGCCAAAAAAGGCCAGGAGGGCTTCCTGTAAGAGGCAAAGCTCCAAAACTTAGGATGGGAAGGATGGGAAAAGATGGCAAGAAGGGACTTGAGGCTAGAAGCCAGGAGACAACTACAGTTCACCGAGCATGTTGGGGCCAAGCTCTATGCCAGGATTGTCCCATCTTTAATGCGCTCAGAAGTCCTTGAGTTGGGTTTTACTACAACCATTTACAGAGGAGGGCTCTGAGACCCAGAGCACAGGAGTCAACTGCCTAAGGTCCCACTCCTAGAAGATGGGCAAGCTGAACTCCAACCCAGGTGCATCATCTCTCAACATCCCACCGAGCCTCTGAAACAGTCAGTGTCTTGCTGGTATTGGGTGTCAGAGGGAGATGCTGATGGCTTTTGAGTAGGGGCAGATATAAATCTTAGAATATGGTGGATGTGTACTTAGTGAAAATTGAGCCCCATGAGTTCATTTCTCAGACTATGAGTCCAAGGCCTTGGGAGGTGATGGGACTCTCCCAAGGATGTCAGTGAGCAGAAGGCCCTCAAGGACCGGGGTTTCTTGCCTGCCCATTGAATGTGTACCCACTGTGCCACACTGCTGGCGACACATTGGCCCTCCCTGTGCTTGGCTTCTAGTCCTGGACTGGGGCATTAGACCAGGAGTCCCAAGCTTGGCTTTTGCTCTTGGCCCTGGCACAGACCACCCAGGCACTGGAGGGAATCAACCCCATGTTGTCTCTTCAGTGGCCTGTCTGCTTCTACCCCCTTGCTCTCCCAGGGAGCCTCCTTCCTGGAATTTCCTGCCCTTCTGGCACTCCCAGCCAATTCCTCTAGAGGCCTGCAACACTCAGCTTATCTCAGGATGACAGGGGCTGGGTACATCTAAGGTGTCAGGGCTGGGGCCCATTATTCCTTCATCCCTTTCCACAATATTGTTGCCCACAAAACCCTGAGCTACCAAACCTTGGTTCCATAGGGTATGTGTATGGGGAAGAGACAAACTGACACCTATGAGCCCTCAAGGGGCCCTAAGTTCTTGGCCCTGCCTTGAGGATGCATTGCTGTCAGCATTTCCACATCCAGACCCTGTGTTTGAGACAGGAAAGACTGGCAGATAGGGCTTGGGGAAGTGGGTTAAATACTGTGGGGAGTCTGCTGTGCCCTTACAAAGGAGGTGGCACTGGACCTAGGCTGCCTTCTTGACTGGGAAGAATTGGGGAGATAGTCTTATGGGGAGTGAAGTGACTGCCTGTTCAGAGACAGAGAGGAGGAACTGTACATGCTGGATTTGGAGGTGGTTTACCATGCCAGGCTACAATCTAGAGCTCTCAGGTTGGCAGGGAAGTGGCTAGATCAGGAAGGGAAGGGCTGATGTGCTAGGCCTTTGCCCCACAGTCCCATCTGTGATGAGGGAAGGGGTTCCCAGGGGTCCAGAGGGCAGCAGATAGAGGAGGCAGGACCAGCAGCAGGTTTAGGCCACCCAAACCAGGCAGATCTGGAGAGTCAGGACTCCCTGGGGTCCCACTTAAAGGGGCTGGTCTTGTTCACCTGGGGGCAGAGAGTCTCAAACCTGGGATTAGGGCTTGGCCAGGAGTATGGTGGCCCAAGAGTGTGGCTATCAGGGTAGAACTTCCCCACTTTGCCTCTTCCCTGTACTCCTCCAGGAAGCCTTCCTGGCTGCTCTCAGCCCTGCTGATCCTTCTATTGAGAGCCCCAGGAGTTGCTCATCTCTTTTTGTGTTTCCTGGCTGCCAGCTCCTTTGGGAGCTCCCAGGCCAGGCCTGGGCACCTCCCAATTTGTCCCATGGTGGGGAGGAGCCCAGTGGATGGGGACTTCCCCTCTCCCTCAGGGGCTGGAGCAGCCTGGCAGCTAAGGGGTGGGATTAGAAGGCTGGTGCTAGCCCCATCTGGCCCAGGCCTGGCCCTGTTAAGTTCCAGGTGGGGCGGGGCCTTGAAGGTGGGGCTGATCCCAGAGGCCAGCAGCCGAGTCCTGCTTACTGGTGCCGAGTAGCTGTTGGGAGAGTAGCGCCCCTCCTCCCCCCAGCCCGCTTCATCAGGGCGCCCTCCCCCTCCTTTGTCCTCGGGGATCCCCAGCCCCAAGGGCTGATGGGGGTGCGAGAGGAGGCGGTGTTAGCCCCGATTGGGGGGGGTGTCCTCACCCCCCTCACTGCACGAGCGAGGGGCTGGCAGCTGCCCGCCTCCTGGGCACGAGCCCGTGCCAGCCGCTCCTGGCACAGTTGCTGGCACGCCCGGCAGACTCCCACGGCCACCTGCTCACACCCACCCACGAGCGCTGGCGCGCTGAGGGCCCTTCCGGCTTCCCGGGCCTCCCGGCGTCCCTCCCCCGACGCCGGGCCGGGAGCCCCCTCCCCAGTCCTCAGCTCCCAGGCCCCCCGGCCCGCGGGTCTAGGCCCCCACCCCATGCAAGTTGGGGAGCTCCCGAGCGGGGCCGCCGGGGGCCCCCCCGGGGTTGCCGCGCCGCGGGCTGAGGGGGACCGGGAGGCAGCAGACAGACCGACAGACAGGGTGAGGGCCCCGCCTGCCACCTGGCGCCGCTCCAGCGGGACGATGGCGGGCAGCGCCGTGCCAGGCGGTAATTGCAGACAGACTAATTTAAAGAGATGAGACGGTTATTTTTAACTCGCGTTAAGGTAATGAACGGCGCGGGGGGTTTGCGGGTTCGAAAGTTCAGTGCCCCCCCATCCCCACTTAGTGCTGGGCCCTGAGGCCTTCAGCCTGGGGGTGCAGTGCAGCCCGGGACTGAGGAGCAGGGAGGCTCCCACCAGGCACCAACACATGTCCCATCAAATTCTCACCACTGTTCTCTTTCCAGATGTGGAAGTGGTTTGCCCTGAGGTCACATACCTAGCAAGTGGCAGGCGTTTTCTATGCCATAGCATAGGACTGGGAGTTCCATAGTTGCTGGTGAGAAGGCCTTGGGTTTGGATTAAGGGCTTCTTCCTGGCAGCCCCTGTGTTTGAGTGGCAGCTGATGAAGGCCATCACTTGAGGTCTTCAGGTCTGTCTGGGCCTTGTGAGGGTTGAGAAGTGGTCATAAACTGTGAGTGGCAGTGAGCCTCTGGGAGAGGGTTGCTTTTCTGACCTCCCAGCAGGTTCACCAGCTGGTCCCTACACCAGCAGTGGGCCTGCCTCCCACTTCAGGTATCTGGGTATCTGGGAAGCAGGGGAGGGCCTGGGCTAACACCCGCACCCCCATTAGTATTCCTCTAGTTCCTCCACCTCTAGTTCAGATACTGGGTCTCTGAAGAGGTTGAAGAGCATAAGGCTGGATATCGGTCCCTTCTGACATATCCCCAGTGACTGGGCATGCATCCCCTCTGGGACTGCCATTCAATTGCAAGACACATCTTTTAAGACTGGAAAGATGCATTTCTTCTCTCCAGTA